CTAGTCAGGGATGTATAAGTTGGCTCTCGAGTAGGCTGTAAAAATTGTAAAATAAAGCAATGCGAGTAATCTTAGTTTTAAATAGGTACACAAGGATAGGCGATATCGAGGGCCTCAAGGGGTAAACCACTAGTGGAAATCATTGTACATACATTTTTTTTTGGAATCACTAGTAATCAATCAGGAATACATGGAAATCACTTGGGAGTCGGTGGGAATAACCTAGGAATCGCTAAGAATCTCCTAGGACTCCATGGGAATCACGTAGGAATCTATTGGCAATCGCTGAGAATCATGTGGTAATCGCTGGGAATATCATCTCATTCTACCCAGAAATCGCATATCATGCCTATTAAACGATACAGCTTAGGTACCGGTCAGTTGTGTATTTGCCTCGACTAAGTTTTAGGTAACAGAGTACTATAGACAATTTGAAATAAATTTGATATCCCAACGAGTTTCCCAATAACTGAACCCGAGACTACGAAAATTGGTGCAAATCGTCAACAACCAGTTTTCTGACTATTTTCAACCAATGAAATTCGCTCTGATTTGTGATTTTTGTGAGAACTGACCTAAACTATGACAATGTTATCGATCATAAAAATGATAACATGAATCTTGAAAAATCTCTTGAATTCGACTTGCCAAAAGAACACAGAATTTCTTCACACATCAGGGTTTAGCAACTGCGATTCGCTATTAAAAGATTATTCAGGGCTCAACTTTAATTTGGTTCTTTTCAGAGAAGCAGGGACGTTTGTTGATTGAGTATTAAGAGCTATGGGAATGTCCCTGAAGAAGACACAAAAGGAAAAGTCGGGAATCCAGGACAATAAGAACTTGAAAATGAAAAGTAGAATACCTAAATACTAGGCAGTGCGAGAAGCAGAGACGATAGCACATCTGAATCAGAATCGGAAATAAGTTTTTCGAGTGAAACCCTAACTGAAGATGTCTCTGATTCAGATGAATATTCTAGTGAAATCAAAAAAATATCCATTATTTCAGATTCATATTATGCAGTGTAGATATTCGATGGTATCTAGGACTCAACAACTAGGTATACCTACAAAAAAATCGCTGTGGGTGTGGACAACCACGAGATTATAAGAGAAAATATTTAGATTAATTAGACATCGTTTTCAAAATACAATCAGCTTGAAATTGATGATTGTAAGAAATCATTGATGAAATCGGGTAATCAATTGGGAATGATATAGGAATCCCAAGAAAAAATGGAAATCATCTGGTAACCATACAAAAATATCTGAAAATTATTGGCAATCAGTTGCAATTCTTGGGATGGGAATACATGAGTTTTATTGATCAGTGATTGCCAAATATGGAAATCATTGTACATTTGTAAACATAGTGGTAGACCCTTGGGTTGACCCCTCGGGTGATATGTTGGAAAACTTAAAATGGCTAAGTGTGCCAAAGTTTTTAGAATTTAATCAAATCAAATCAAATCAAATCAAATCAAATCAAATCAAAATCGTGCTTTATTGTGTAAAAAGAAATATACAAGATATTTGTTCACAAAGCAAACATTGAAAAATTTCTGTAAATAAAATATAAAAGAAAAGAAAAAGCTCTTAACAATAGTTTTGGTGTATAAGACATGAACATTTTAAACACTCGTCACAAACAAAATATCTACCTAATCGAAACCAAAACAAAATAAAATTAATACTAACATAAATTAAAAACTAGTACAAAAAAATTCCTCAATATCATAATAGGCTCTCGGCAACAATATTCTTTTCACATCTTTTCTAAATTTAGACATTGTGGGCAGTGATTTTACATGACTTGGTAAATGATTGAAAATCTTTTTTCCCCTGTATACAATCGAGTTTTTTACTTGGGATGATACAGGTATAGGCAGAGAGAGTTGGTCTAAATTTCTAGTGTTATATGCGTGCCCAACTCTATTTAGGGGTTTAAACTTTTTATATGCCATACAAGCTGTTACCAGTACAAAAAGTGAGGCAAGTGTTAAAATATTAGATTTAATAAACAGGGGTTTACAAGTATCGCGAACATTGGCTTTAAAAGTGTACCTTATGGCTCGTTTTTGTAGCAGAAACACGCTATTAAACAATTGCTTGGTACAATTTCCCCAGAAACAGATTCTGTATCTCAGATGGGATTCCACTAAAGAAAAATATGCCGTTCTAGCTATGTCTGTCGTAAGTTCATTCGAAATGACTCTTATTGCGTAACAGTTCGAAGCTAACTTACTCTTTAGATTAAGAATATGTGATTCAAATTTAAGTCTCGCATCAATAAGAATTCCCAAAATTTTATTCTCGTTAACCCCACTTAGTAGACGATCATTTAAATAAATGTCATCTATGTTACATCCAAAGGACATAATGTTAGTTTTATTTATATTAAGACATAGTCTATTTGCATCGCACCAAGCCTTGATTTTTTATGTCGATACGAATTATTTCATAAAGCTGTTTTTCACTGTCATTCTGCTATAGAATGGTGGCATCGTCGGCAAAGAGTGTAAACTTTCCCCTGATATCAATATATGCCAAATCATTAATATAAATGAGAAAAAGTATAGGACCCAACACAGATCCCTGAGGAACTCCAGCATTTAATGTGTGTTGTTCTGACGACTGTCCCTTTAATACTGTCTGAACTCTATCAGAAAGATATGACTTAAACCACTCTAGAGCTATACCTCTGAAGCCATAATTCTCTAATTTACCAAGTAGAATCCTGTGATCTACACAGTCGAAGGCTTTCGATATGTCACAAAATACTGATGCAGCCACCTGTTTGTTATTAAGGCTCTTGTAAAGCTCTTCCAGGAATGAAAATATTGCGTCATTTGTGCTTTTGTTTGCCTGGAATCCAAATTGCTGAAAATTCAAAGTTTTGTGCTTCGCTAAAAATAAATTCATTCTTGTTTTCACAAGTTTTTCAATTATTTTAGACAAAATAGAAAGTAAAGCTATAGGCCTGTAATTATGAGTTTCGTTTTGATCACCACCCTTAAATATAGGGACAACTACGGCCCTCTTTAGGCAAGCCGGAAAAACGCCATTGAGAAATGAAATATTAATACAATCCGCTAAGGTCTTTAAGGCATCGTCCTTTAGTTCTCGCAGCACACCAAGAGAAATGTCATCCCACCCAGTAGCTCCACTTCTTTTTATTTCACGAAGGGTCTGTTTGATTTCATGGATATCGGTAGGACAAAAAAAGAAGGAATCTTGAACATTATTTTTTAAGAACATATTGTAATTGTGATCTTCTGGGATATCTTTCGTTAAGGTTGACCCAATAGAACAAAAAAATTCATTAATTTCACTTGGAGATAGTTTAGTATCAGCTTGAACTTTTTTATTTTTACCCCTTAATTCGTTAACGCACTTCCAGGCTTCGCGCTGTACGTTACTCGATTGCGTTATTCGCTTACCATAATAAATGCGTTTTGCATTCTTAATTGTTTGCCGATATACTCGCCTGTAGGAATAAAATAGAGCGTTAAAAAATGAATTATGAATGAAATATTTTCTTATATAATGAAGAGAGCGCATATTTTTAGAAGATACTTTTAAACCGTTTGTCATCCAAGGTTTCTTAGGTTTTATAGTCAGTTTTTTAATGGGAAATGCTCTATTAAATATCTCACATAGAGAATAATGAAATAATTCTAAAGGATCCTGCGCCGACAATAACGCTCCCCAATTCTTTTCAGTACAGATTTTGGAGAACCTATCATAATTTGACCTACAATATATTCTACCCTTTTTTCTATTTTTTCGGGGTAGCTTAGTCCTAATTTTAAATACACCCGAAACAACATCATGATCAGACAGACTCGCCGGAACCACGTCGCACTCGACCATATCCTTTTCCATATTAGTGCATAGATAATCTAGAATGGTAGCCGAGTGCTCTGTAGTTCTAGTGGGTACGTCAACAAACATACTTAGATTAAAAGAGGCAAGTAGATTTTTTAAATTTTGAGTATTACAGTCGCACGTGTCTAAAAAGTTCAAGTTTAAATCACCACCCAGAATGACACGGCATCCAGCTGATATTCCAGATAACACCATTTCTAGCTTATACAAAAACTCTTCAGGGCTTCCTCCCGGGGCTCTATACAAACATATAATAAAAAGGTTTAGGCTCACGCAATGTGCCATTGATAATTCAAATAATGCTCTTATTTTTATACAGAAAGTGAAATTAGAAAAAGTGCCTCAGTATGTTCGAGGTATTGTTCATACTTTTGAACAAGTACATAATTAATAATTATTTTACAAGTGGTAGACAAAATTATGTATTGGCTGATGTGAGGAAAACCTCATCTCAAAATTCAATATTTTTGAAAAGAATAGTGGTATTAGTGGTATATAATAATTTGCCACAGTGTTTGAAGAATGTTGGAAGCATATCAGCATTTGAAAGGGAATTGAGAAGGAACATGTTTGTATAGGATAGGAATAATATTATTTGTTATACATATTATTAAGCAATGTAACTTTAACTTAGAATAGCAATGTGCTAAATAGATTACTATAATTCTCGCTATAATTATTATTATCTTTATTATTGTATGAAGGCAAATAGCTCTTGAGGAACACGCCAATAAATCTTTAGAAAAAAAATTGTTTATTTTTGTTATCCTCAGAAAAAAAAAATTAACAGAAATGGTATCATTAGGTATAAACAAGGGTACAAAGAGAATTTCGCCCTGTTCAAAATGGTGTCATGACTGGTGAACAACTTTCCTTATGTTATTTGAAAACATAATAAGGCCTCTCTGTAGCAACTTTTAAGGAAAACTTCAAATACAGTTTCCTCAGAATGCGAATGTTGTTCGATAAGGCTCAAAATTGACAAGTCCTAATCTTTTTTTCTACAAATTCCGAGACACATTCCAAAAAATTTAAACATGGGCGCATAAATGATAAGTTTTTGTTACTATTAACATTTCCTTCTTGATGTGAATTCACATTTCAACCTACCAGTAATCTAGCAATCCTTTTCTTCCAAGACCTGATACCGCTCTGCCATACCACATGCAAAACTTCCCTGTCCAAATTCACATCCCATCCCTCATGGGTGATGGAAAACGAAAAAGCGACCGCAGCATGGGCTTCAGCCATGTTGCCTCAACGTTAAACTGAAAATAAAACCTATTTGTATGTATAGTTTATTAGGAGCCAATAAATTAAAAGGAGAAAGTGTTTATCGAGGTACCTACTACAAAAACATTTTTATTGCCACATTGAAAAGTGTTGGGTTGATAGCCCAAAAAAAATTACAAGCATTTATTTGATATTTTATGTTCAATGTTCCTGACCCAACTTTTTGTTGAATATAACAGGTAGGAGTGCAGCAGGTGAATAAAATCAATATTGTTTTACCTAGGTAAGACCGAGGGTAAGACTCTCACTATGGATTAGTCAAAAGAAAACGAAACTAAAATTAGGTATTTGCTCAGGTCTAATATTTTTTTCTGAGTTTGGGGTACCAGTACCATGAGACACCAGCTCAGATAAATAAGCGAAGAATGATCCAAAGAGAGGGGCTTTACAGTTTAGAGCCCTTTTTGATTAGAGGCCTCTCGTCTAGGAGGTCTAGATGTTTTTCACTACTAAAACTAAAATAAAGTACCTTCTCACATAAATGTTAATTATAAAGTAACGAAAACGGTGATGACGAAAACTATAGACCAGGTTAGAAAGCTTAAAAAAGTAGAAAATACATACCAATTGGACTAGACTATGGAATTGTCGTAAACAACCTTATTATTTAGATTAGATAGGCACAATTAAATGTTTACTACAGCTGTAATTTACAGTTCATTATAATTAACTAATGAATATTTAAGTTAGAAAATACACAATTGAAACACAAGAGACGCACAGGAAGAACAGTATGATAGCCGAAGATGTTTATTCACATTTTAAATTTAATGCAAGATAACAAAAACGATTTTCCAAACTCTTCAAAAATTGTTTTGCCTTGAAAATAAATGTTTTTGCTGACAAATTAAAAAATAAACACTACACACACCAATGTACAGACCTTGCGTTCGGTATTTTGCTCGAAGAGCAGAGCGTGCAGAGCGGAGCCGTAACCACGTGACCAGCGAGCGAACAGAGCAGTTGAACGCTGTATAAAAGTGCCAGAAATTTTAATAAACGAACGCGAATGAGGATACACCGAGTACACTTTTTGAATAAACGAACGGTAAAGTCAAGCTCGGAGAACTCAGACCAAAATAACGAACGCACGGTGTGACACAGCCACTGTGACAACCATTTTGACAAATTAAAGATTAGATAGAGAAAAAAAACATTATTTTTATCTTTTTCTTTCTCATGCTTTTAGAGAAAGACCTAACAAGAAATTTCGAAATGAATAGTCACTGTCATTTGGAAGATCTGTCAACGGCCGCCATGGACCAAAATGAACTTTGCACGTATTTTGATAAACTTAACCTCAAAAAACTTCAATAAATTCAAAACAACCATGACTTTATAACAAAACTAATAAAAAAGTGAATAATTCCAAATAAAATAGACCAAAATCCTATACGAAAATGTCCGACACTGCTTTGGTCATCAAAGCGAAACCGCAAAGAAAAGTTTTCAAAGCGACAAAAATTACAAAAGTGCCCGAAAGTTTACTCAACGATCCGAAACTTGAAGCAGCCTCGTCAGCTTTGCCCAACAACTACAACTTTGAAATTCCCAAAACCATATGGAGAATACAACAACTAAACGCCAAAGTTGTAGCTTTGCAATTGCCGGAAGGTTTGCTATTATTTGCCACTACCTTAGCTGATATCATTAAAGAATTCACTGGGGCAGATTCTGTTATAATGGGAGATGTTACGTATGGAGCTTGTTGTATTGACGATTTAACTGCTAGAGCGTTAGGAGTAGAGTTATTAGTGCATTATGGACACAGTTGCTTAGTTCCAATAGATCAAACAAGTGGAATTAAAGTTTTATACATTTTTGTGGATATTAAAATAGATCCTCTGCACTTTATAGAGACTATAAAAATGAATTTTGAGCCTTCTACTAAAATGGGACTTGTAAGCACCATACAGTTTGTAACAACATTACAAGTGGTTTCTAAATTATTACAGCAAAGTGGTTTTGAGGACGTTTCGATACCACAATTCAAACCGCTATCTCCAGGAGAAATTTTGGGTTGCACTGCTCCAGTTTTAAGATGCTGCGAAGTAGTTATTTATTTAGGTGATGGTCAATTTCATTTAGAAGCAGCCATGATAGCAAATCCTAAAGTCAAAGCCTACAAATATGATCCTTATGACAAAAAATTTACTTATGAAAGTTATGATCATTCACAAATGGAAACTATAAGGAAAAACTTCATCGAAAAATCAAAATTAGCTGAAAATTTTGGTGTTATTATGGGCACATTAGGCCGGCAAGGGAGCCCTAAAGTAGTTGAACATTTAAGACAAAGATTAAGTGATAAAGGCAAAAACGCAGTCATAATATTATTGTCAGAAATTTTTCCGAAAAAAATTGATCTGTTTTCAAAATTAGACGCATTTGTACAGGTAGCTTGCCCAAGATTATCCATAGATTGGGGAACTGCTTTTTCAAAACCATTTTTAACTCCTTATGAATTAGCCATTACATTGGGAGATGCTCAATGGCATAAAGAGGGTAAGAGTTACCCTATGGATTTTTATGCTAACGCTAGTCTAGGACCTTGGACACCTAATCATAAACCTGAGGAACTAAATGTGAATACTTGTTGTGGAAAATGTCCATAATAAAGAATAATATATTTAATTTAAGAGCAAATTGTATATTTTAATTTTTATTTAATAAATTATTGTTATTACGTTTTACTCAATCAATCAATCCTTTCCAATAAATTAATTATAGCCCAAATAACGACTTGTCCAAGGAAACCAGAAGTGGGTACATACTTCTTAGAAGCATACTAATAAGAAATAAATATCAGAGGTTTATTTTTTTAATTTATTCGAAACTTTACAAACGCCAGGTTGGTTATTAGATGTAAAGTACACTCACAAACTAGGTACTAAAAACTAGCGAAAAACAGATTCCAGTAAAAAAATGTCTGTGGAAATAAGTAAACAGACGTAATGATTATTGATTACCTGTCTTGAGGCAATTTATATTGAACATGTCTACATCCTTATTTAGAACTTGCAGATTCACTTTTGGTACTTTAAATTTAATAAGTTCTACGAGATTGAACTCTCTGTACTTTAAATTATTTAAAACAGAATAAATAAAGATAACAGCCTGTGATTTTCTTCTACTCATCTCCAATGTTTCGAATCCATAGCCTGTAGACCTGTAAGATACCAAAAAGAATAAACATTATTTAGTTTTACATACAAGAATCTAAAGAACCTTTTCAATTAGGTCGCCGCCTACAAACGTTACAGGTTATCTCTTGATTGATTAAGGAATGAAACATTCTCATGAAGAAAGCCTTCCAGATTTTTTTCCAACTCCATTGGCAACTCCAATGGTAGGAACTTGGTCCTAATTTTATAAAAGCCTGTGCTTGCATTAGCCAAGTTAATGTATAATAAATCACAATTACCTAAGCAACAGCTAATGAATCTTGAGTCAATGAAGAATTATTTCAGAAAAAAAAAATAATTCAGAACTATCAGGTGAAACACTGACAATAAATCCAACCGCCTTCAAGAGACACTTCACATATTGTTTGAATAATGTAATCTGCACATACTAGGTTTATTAGGTTGTGAATATGTTTTGAAAGGCTAATATCTACCTCTCGATCTACCTTATATGAATACCCATACCCAATTATGAACTAAAGAAGCTAGATGTAAAGACCTACTTGTATAGAAAATAAATAAAAAACTTAATCAAGGATCAAATTTTATTTCGACTTCCAGCAATAAATTCAATATTGTTGATACTGATTATATTTTACTCAATTTTCAGTCCTTGAATAGACCTCTCCAGTGTATCAATATCCCAAATAACCAACTGTCCGTCCAAGCCAGAAGTACTAATTTTCGAAGCCTTAGCTTTATTGCCCCCATAAATACATAAACAAGTTATTGCGTTCTGATGAATAGAATCCAAATTAGTATCCGAAGTTTCACTTCTAGCCTGTTTATCCAAAGAATGGAACATTCTCATGGCTGAAAGCCCTCCGGATTCCTTTTTTTGAGAAGTGTCCAACTTTCCAGCAAAAGCCAATTGTCCACTAGCATTAAGAGTATACAAAATTGGGATGCAGCTATGTCCGGCGGCAACAATTGTTTTGGAACTGATCCAAGTGCAGCTCAGAAATGGTAGGAATTCAGTTCTCAATTTTACAAAAGCGTTTCCGTTGCTTGGATCAGCAAAGTTAATCGATGAATCATGAGACACCCATGCAACTTTAGAGCCATCAGGTGAAAAGCTGACACAATGAATCCAACCACCGCCAGCAGGAGAATTCACATATTCAGCCATAAGTTGTCCCAAAGGCATTTTAGTACCCCATGGAGTAGGTTCAGGAGTTTTCTCAATATCTTTGATATAAGCTGAGAATACTCTAACTTTGAAGTCAGCACTGCCTGTGGCTAAAAGCACATTATTTGGGTGCCAATCCAGGGTAGACACAGTAGATCTAATGGGTTTTTTGATATGCTTTGAAACCCACCAATCGTTTTCGCTTTCAAAATAACAAACTGATATAAGTCGGGCTCCAGAGCCTACTGCAAACTTATTTTCATTTGGGGACCATTTTACACACGTGGCAGCCCTGTTAATCCTCAACAAAACAAGCGTAGGCTTCCATTTGCCTTCACTGTCTTGGCTCCAAACATAAGCATTACGGTCAGCGGCGCAAGTAACAATCCTGTTGGTGTTGGGCGCCCAATCAATGCCCATAACTCTTAAATCATGTTGGTTTAGGGTGTCCAAGAGTTTCCATTCGGTGCCTTTGCGCTGGTGGACTTCTACTTCTTGATTGTTGGGCGAAAATGCTATTTCTGTGTTAGGAAAAGTTTTAGTCGATTTTGATGGTTTTTTTTTTAGTTTTACTTACGAGTTCTGTCTTTGTTCCAGGCATGGCAAGTTATAGGGCTTAGAGCACCAAATTTATGGCAGTCAGTCATCTAGGAGGAGGAATAGAGTTAAATTATTTTTCTGCTGATTTATTTGGAAAATAATTATGCCTAATTTTTACAAAATATCTTCCTGCTAGGCCTATCATCTGTTGACTTGAGGAGGATTTTTGTATTTTGAAAATTGAAACTCAACCCAAACTAGGGCTTAGTGGGAGGTAAACAATATAGAGTAGTCAGAGGTAAATTTATTGCTTACCTTTTAGAAAAATTCGCGGACTCTGGTCAGTCAACACGAATTGTTTATTTAGTTTTTCAGGAAATTGTTCTTATTTTTGTACTTTCATCAACTACTGAATACTATTAAATGCCAAATGGGTGTGTATTTATTATTAGTAATCATCCATTTACTGTCACTGTACCCTTAAAAAAAAAAATACAATGCAATGGAAAACTACACCACTGGCCTGACTTACCACATCACAAAAACTGTCACCTGTCGCGAAAAGAAACTTCAACTCACCCTGGTGGGGGATTCTCATCCTCTAGTCGCAACCTATCGTCCCGACTATCCCAATAGTTGTATTCCTTTCACACATAGGAGGAGCTCCGGGGCGCATCTAAACATTCCGGTATAGGATTCAGCACCTAGACATATTTCATTGGTCCGTTTGAATTCGGACCGCCAATTAATGCGGAGTGCCGAAATCCGTACTTGAATGTTGAACGGTGCTGAACCTCAGGTCGGAATGGTATATACATATACTATGTGGAGTGCCGAATCAAAGGTCAAAATGTTGAACAGTGCCCAGCTGCAGGTTGGAATGTTACTCCGTTAGCGCGGCACAAAATCAACAAACAAACTTTATTTACTTTTTGTTACACATTTATTTTATTTCAACGATACATTTCAAAAAATCTTGGACAATAATTTGCAGTGGCGGACCCAGGGGGGAGATTATAGAAACCTGAAACCTGGCAAATTAGAATAGAAAATTTTGAAAATAAATACCCTAATATAGTTATCTTTTTTTATGGTATCTGTGGTGCTTAGTTTAATTAAAATATCAATTGAAGCCAGGCAACAGCAGTTTTTGGATTTTCCTTACTTATTATTTTCTTGATCCACTTTTTTATAAGCACTATGATGGCATACAAAAACATATCTGAAAAATGTATTTTCCAAAGTCTATTCGCATCCAAGAAGATTCTACGTCATTGAACTTACATTGAACACAAACCTGCATTTGAATCTGTTATAATTATTTTTCGTTGACTTCACATTCCAATTCGTGTATGTTATAGAGGTATCACTATACTCTTCTATCCATTGCTTTATATCGTTTTCCTCCAAAATGTTGGCTCGGTAAATTAGCTCACCACATTGAAAGTGTTTAAATGATCCAGGCAAACTCCATCTTGCATGTTTAAGCACAAGAACACATGAAGCAACGGCGAAATAAACCACATCCGCCGCAAAATTGTAGCTGAGAGGAACACGAAGGAGGTGGACAGCTGGTTTAATATAAAAACCGCGCCAAACGCATGGCAACATTCGGACCTGATACTCAGCACTGTTTAACATTCAAGTACCGATTTCGGCACTCCGCATGGCTGTTGCTAATGGACCATTCTGACCTGAGGCTCAGCACCGTTCAACATTCAAGTACCGATTTCGGCACTCCGCATCAATTGGCGGTCCGAATTCAAACGGACCAATGAAATATGCCTAGGTGCCGAATCCTATACCGGAATGTTTAGATGCCTCCGGGGCGTTACGCGCTCATTCCTTTCGAAAAGTTTTTGTTGCACCAGGGCTGCGTTTATACGTTCAAAATCGGCAGCGGTAAAGTATAGTCAACCATCCAAGGACCTTTTTTTTCAGTTATACATGTAAACCCCATACTTTGTGAGTGGCTTGCTTACATCAAGTCCTACAACTTTTCCTCTACGACTTTTCTCGGAGATGGCACGTATGGGCGCAGGCGACTCGCAAACATTTTAGGGGTATCGGACTCCCCCAATTTGCCATTATTTTTGTCGGCCAAGTTGATTTCCGTGATTTAGAAATAAAAATCAAACATTATTCGTGAAATTAGATTTTCATGTATCAAGAAACATAACCACGTCAGATCGACATTTTGGGGGTATCGGACTCCCCCAATTTGCCATTATTTTTGTCGGCCAAGTTGATTTCCGTGATTTAGACATAAAAATCAAACAGTATTCGTAAAATTAGATTTACCTACATGTATCAGGAAACATAGCTGCGTCAGATCGACATGTTTGCGAGTCGCCTGCGGGCATACGTGCCATTTCCGAGAAAAGTCGTAGAGGAAAAGTTGTAGGACTTGATGTAAGCAAGCCACTCACAAAGTATGGGGTTTACATGTATAACTGAAAAAAAGGTCCTTGGATGGTTGACTATAACTTTTGGAGATCCTATCAACTGATGCGAGAGGTGGGTTCGGCTTGCTCACTCCGTGCACTCCGAGTGACTCCATTCGCACTCCAGCCGTTCGGGTTAAGGTTCGGGTATTGGTTTTTACCTAGGGGTGACTCCATTAGCTCTGTTCACTCCACTCCAACTCCGCGCTGAATAGCCGAACCCAGCTTAGAAATGGTTATACGAATTTTGATTGGATAAGTGGGGTCTGTCACTTTCGACAAATAACAATACATTAATAATACAATACAAAAAGCTTTTAGAACGGAAGTGGAAGCGGTGAATAGACTTAGTGCGCGTTCACATTGGCACCGCTCGAGCGGTGAGCGTTGCGCGATGCCGCTGTAGCGATGCCCAAAAATAATTTTACCATTATATTTCGAGTGAACATGTTAACACCGCGGGACGCGCCGCCCCAGTGTGACCAAGTTCATTTGAAATATAATGTTAAAATTATTTTTGGGCATCACTACAGCGGCATCGCGCAACGCTCACCGCTGGAGCGGTGTCAATATGAACGCGCACTAACAATTACTAACGCTGATGATCTGAAAACGATAAATTCAATAGGGCGTGGCAGCCAGCAGGTTAGTTTTGAATTATGTGTTTTTATCTTTGAATATAAAACTACAGGAAGGAGCGTTTCCTATCTGTCACCACAGACAACGCAGGGACGGAAACGGCCATATTGAGGTTCCAAGTATGGACTCATCATTTGTTTTGGTGGTTCGCTGTGTCGTCATTCAAAGGCGATTTTCAGCCTGGAATGATTATTATTTGGTTATAACCAATGCATTTCCGCCGTCGCGGTTTTAACCAAAGTAGGGGAAGTTGTGACGTCACATATCAGCTGATTTGCTTTTGGTATTTACCACTTATAACCGATTATAACCCAGCTTTGGACTTGGGTTAATCTTTTGGTTACAGCTTTTTGATGTTATTGTTATTATTTTTGGAATATGTATTGGTGTTTTGTGATTTTACAGTTGCGTTTGTAGCCTGGCACAATGGAAGAAGTATACATTCACTCACTCACTGCAATTCACCATGTTTAGATCGAGGTTTAGATCATCCCCAAAGAAAATCTGTTCGATAAACGAGAGTAACGAGAGATTCAGCTCCATTTTTTGTACCTAAACAAAAAACTATTGTTGAAATGAAAAACCAAATAAGAATAATAAACATAATCCTACACTGCTATAACCAAATCATTTCAGCTTCAGCGGTCAGTTCCTTGGGTTAAGATTCTTGAATGGTGGGGGGCTATGACGTCACACTTGGCTGTCAAAGTTGTCAACCAAAAGAATAACCACGGTATTTACCGATAAATAATCATTCCAGGCTGAAAATCGCCTCAAGTGGATGTTTGATGGATTTTAGCGGTTTTAAGCTATAATAAGTACCTACTGGAATTAGGGCGAGTATTATAAAATTGCTTTGACAGTTAACTTGAAGTTAACTTTTTGAATTACATTTAATTCCAGAAGTTAACTTTAAGTTAACTCTCAAAGTAGTTTTATAATACCCGCCCTTAGTGAGAAAAGAGTCAGTCATAATAACCAATGAATTATAACCAAAAACTGGAATGCGAAGACATATTGACGAACGTGAAGCCTAGTGCCGCTGCTGCGGAGGGGATACTTGTTTTTGTCGCACTCATTATGTTAAATGGCGGAAATTGCTTCCACCACGTATTCCAATTGATGAAACCTGTGAAGGTAAATATGACAAAACTCTCCAAAACGTCATATGTCAGCGAGCAACAGAAAAAAACAACATTCCCCTTTGTGGCATCTATCTTTCATGGCTACATTTTTTTGGCAGATATGGCAATGTGTGCGCATTCCAGTTTTTGACTATAGTTCATTGGTCATAACATAATATTGACAATCATATTTAAATAAAGTCTGTTTTCTTTTCAAAGATAATTCCCCAAGTCAAAAATGTAGTAACTGTTGGCAACACCAGCCTTTTCTACATAAAAAATTTGAAAGCATTGACAATTTTACATTGTATTGCCAACATAATGTCATTATGACTTTTATCTTTAAAAATAAAACACACTTTAAATATACGCGCAGATATCGCCGGTAGAAGGGGAAAAGTAGGTTTTGGCATTAGCATGCCATCCTTGAACGCACTCCTAAGTGCTCAAGCCCGACTCAACCCATTAAAATGCATGAAAGCCAGCACATCACACTTGTTTCTTTCAAATCGGGGTCGACTAACACCCGAGCGAGTAGCTCTAGTGTTTGAAACTCTTGAAAGGAATACAGCTATTGTTTTTCTACGTAGTCGGGACGATAGGTATTGCGACTAGAGGATGAGAATCCCCCCCTGTTGAGTTCGGAATGGGATTTTAGTGCAGACATCTTACTGCTTACTAGGTGCGGTTGTCACGTGATGAAGGTGTAATCGGCGGTGTAAAGCCGGAGTCTCATGCATCCACTTTCCGACGTTTTATGTCCGAAAAACCTTCTATTCTGACATATTTTTATACGATTATGACAGAAGGTTTTTCGAACATAAAACGTCGGAAAACGGATGTATGAGACTCCAACTTAACACCGAATACACCATCATTTTGTACCGAGTAAACGGTGTCCTACCCTATTTACACCATTCGAGGCATTCGTGCACCAGATTATTTCCAAACGCAAATAAAGTGTACACCAAGTTTACACCTACCAATTAACGAACGCCACGGTGTCAATAGAGTAAAAAGTGTCGACACTCTCTACCATTAGTTGTATTACTTTCAAGAGTTTAGAACACTCGAGCTACTTGCTCCGGTGTTAGTCGCTCCCGATTTTAAAGGAATAGATGCGTGGTGCAAGGTGCAACACTAGTTGTATTCCTTTCACACCTAGGAGGAGCTCCGGAACAGCTCCGGGGCAGTACACGCTTATTACTTTCGAAAAGTGTTTGTTGCACCTGAGGGCTCAAGCTCGACTCAAAGCATTTAGGGCGGGTATTATAAAACTGCTTTGACAGTTAACTTTTTGAATTACATGTAATTCCAGAAGTTAACTTTAAGTTAACTCTTAAAGTAGTTTTATAATACCCGCCCTTAAAGGCATGAAAGCCAGCGCATCTGTTCCTTTCAAATTGAGGTCGACTAAGGGCGGGTATTATAAAACTACTTTGGGAGTTAACTTAAAGTTAACTTCTGAAATTACATGTAATTCAAAAAGTTAACTTCAAGTTAATTGTCAAAGCAGTTTTATAATACCCGCCCTAACTCCGGAGCGAGTAGCTCTAGTGTTTTAAGGGCGGGTATTATAAAACTGCTTTGACAGTTAACTTGAAGTTAACTTTTTGAATTACATGTAATTCCAGAAGTTAACTTTAAGTTAACTCTCAAAGTAGTTTTATAATACCCACCCTAATACAACTAAGGGCGGGTATTATAAAACTGCTTTGAGAGTTAACTTAAAGTTAACTTTTTGAATTACATGTAATTCCAGAAGTTAACTTTAAGTTAACTCTTAAAGTAGTTTTATAATACCCGCCCTCGGGAAACGAATTCGGCCTCTTTCGATCTGGGGGTCGAATTTTCGAATTCATTCGAGTACCTACCTTAGGGTGACCATATTTTTTTCGCATGAATGCTGTACACATCTAAAGTTTTGGGACAGGTGAGTGGAGAAAGCACTAGATGCAAATTTTGTCGACTTTATAGCCCGTTTTAGTACCACATGACAAAAAAAAAAAAGAAAGACATAACATAATAGGTCTGTTCGCATAGAAATCACAAACCAGTCAGAGTGAATTTCATTGGTTGAAAACCTTAATGTTTAAAACCAAGGTTGTTTGAAAGAGGTAGGTTGGCTGATAACTTTTATGACGTCATCTGGATGCCTAAAATAATGCAAATATCCATTAGATCTTCCTGATGGGGGATTCTCATCCTCTATAGTCGCAACCTATCGTCTTGACTATCCCATTGCCTTTCTACAAGTGAGTCGGGAAGATAAGTTGCGACTAGAGGATGAGAATTCCCCTCTAATGACGTCATCTGTTTACCATTACTAGACAACCTATTAACTTTAGAAACCTTGGGTTGAAATTAGTTTTCTGACTGTTTCTGACTTGCTGACTATTTTCAACCAATGAAATTCGTGCTGACTGGTTTGTGATTGCTGCAGAAACAGACCTATTATGCTGTGTCTTCTTCTTAGCAGCGTGGAATAGAGAGAGATAAAAAAAGGTAGTTAGTATTAAAAAGAATACTCTGGGAAATGATGACGTAAATGACAATGACGTAAATCGCAAATGTAGAAAAGTCGTTAGTTATTGACGGATAATTTTTCGTAATTTAAAAAAAAAAAAAACTTAATTATGATCGGATCCGAATCGCTGTACGTTTGCTGTACAAAATTAAATGCTGGACAGACTTTGAAAATGCTGTACAATACAGCGAAATGCTGTACGTATGGTCACCCTAGAGTACCTACATTTCGTACACGAAATTTGATTGACAACAATGTAAATTAAATGAGGAGCATTCGAAATCATGTTAAATTTCGTATGCGGAATATTCGAAAATACGACCCCTGCTGAACAAACCAATGGAACAAACCAATCAAAGTCACTTGAGAGGTTTCTTTCGAACAATTTTTCATCCCGGTGCTACAACGATTTAATTGGCCCCAGCTGTAGTGATGTAAAGTTTCGATACTTTTAAATACCTGTACCGATTCGATACTTTTATTGGATATTTGGGTACTTTCAGTCTTCAGTAGGTATCAGTGAATTTTTTACTATTTTATAATTTTTTATTCATCCAAGAATCATAGGCTTTAGGCTTGAAGGATTTGGTATTTAAAAGGTAATGGTAATGGTGAATTATTGTACTGTTGGGTACTTACTAACCTACCTAAAGCCTGTTTTTTTTTTCAAGATAATTCCCCAAGTCAGAAATTTAGTAACTATGTTGGCAACGCAAGCCTTTTCTACATAAAAAATTTGAAAGTATTGACAATTTTACATTGTATTGCCAACATAATGTCATTTGGACTTTTATCTTTTAAAAAAAACACACACTTTACCTACTTATTTATTTTGGTTACCAAAGACAAAAATAAAATATTCGTTATTTTTTAGATATACAATATACACAGTAGGCATTTCAAAACTTTGATTATGTATGAATAATTTCACTAGAATATTGCAATTTAGGAAATATAATATAACACATATAGGTTTATAGGTATAAAAGTATCGGGTATTTTGAACAACAAGGATTCGATACTTTGGGTATTGAGTGAATACCCGATACTTTGTATCGGGTAGGTACTTTTTTTACATCACTACCCAGCTGTTTTTTTGACGCCTCATGAACAAACCGTGATCACGTTTGTTCCGGGTTGACGCTCGGCGGAGCGAACAGAGCGGTTACGAAGTAACGTGACGTCACAGGGAGCACACCGTGTCAAGCCAAATAAACTCGTTCAAAAGTGTGGGTTGAGCGATCAGCTGATTAGTGTTTATTTTTTTATGATGTGTTTTTGGAGTCTTTGGGCGGTTACACACGGACGTGGATGTCTTAATACATATACGTGCATACATCAACGTGCAAACAACAACGTGCATGGCGCTTTTGTACAGACGCTCGCACAAAACTGCAGTCTTGCTATTCTTGCTACGGTGTTCCGAGTGTGCATACAAAATTGCACATTCAAAAACGTGACGATATTTTGCATACACATTAGGCGGTTACACACGGACGTGGATGGCTTGATACATATACGTGCAAACAACAACGTGCATGGCGCCTTTGTACAGACGCTCGCACAAAACTGTAGTCTTGCTATTCTTGCTATAGTATTCAGAGTGTGCATACAAACTTGCACATTCAAAAACGCTACGATATTTTGCATACACATTGATGTTTTTGTTTGCGCGTTCATGTATGTGCGTACATGTTTTCAGACATCCACGTCCGTGTGTAACCGCCCATTGATGTTTTTGTTTGCACGTTCATGTTAATACATGTATGTGCGTACATGTTTTCAGACATCAACGTCAGTGTGTAACCGCCTTTTTTGGAGTTCGAGTCCGTATTCCGCATTTGCACAGAGTTTTCTCGTTTGTTTTTTTTTTAGTCGATAATTTTCAAAAAGCCCCATTTTCTTTTGTGTTTTGCTAAAAATGTTGTGCTACATAAACAATAATGTACCCAATGAACTATAGCCAAAAACTGGAATGCGCACACATTGCCATAACTGCCAAAAAAATGAAGCCATGAAAGACAGATGCCACAAAGGGGAATGTTGTTTTTTTCTGTTGCTCGCTGACATATGAAGTTTTGGAAAGTTTTGTCATATTTACCTTCACAGGTTTCATCAATTTGAATACGTGTTGGAAGCAATTTCCGCCATTTAACATAATGAGTGCGACAAAAACAGGTATCCCCTCCGCAGCAGCGGCACTAGGCTTCACGTTCGTCAATATGTGTTAGCATTCCAGTTTTTGGTTATAGTTCATTGAATGTACCTAAACACATCTGCACGCTCCAGCTGCCCACTCCACAAACTCGGAGTTTATCGAGCTCGCTTGAAGCGCTCAAAATATGTCAGACCAAACACAATCAAGCGTTATCACAGCTTCAAAAATAACGGAAGAGGGACAAAAGGGCAAGCCATTGGAGTGCACCGAGCGTGAACCCAAACGCGCCCAAAGAATCGTAGAGTTTACGATTCTTGAGCTTCGAGAATAAAGTCCCAGTTCGAAAGAATACCAGCAATGTTGCCAACTCATGCGTAGAGAAATTCAAATTCAAATAGACGAATCAAAATCGAAGCCCAAGGCCCAAGTGCCGTTTTTTTAAAAATAATAATATTTATATAAAATAGGAGTGTTTCCAACAAATTAAATAAGGTATGGGAAGCATTATCTATATACGAGTCTATATATTTGTAGCTATGGTTTTTATGTTTAAATGATAAATTAACTCTTTCAGAAATATGGATGAAATACCAAGTTTATTGAAACAATACGAAGATTCTGAGCAACAACTAGCCCAAGCTCGCTCTATATATGAAAAATTTGAAGAAACAATACTTCAAGACAGAATGCAAGATGTAGCTCCTAAATCCTCAGAGCCAGTATCATCAAATAAAACAGGCAGCTTGAGAGGCAAAAATTTAACAAAGAGAAGATCTGGTGGTTCTCTCAATAGCAATGGAAGTTTCAGTAATAATACAAGTAGTAGTAGCAATGATTGTAGCAGTAATGTTTTCAAAAGTGTAGAAAAAAGAATACATCAAATTGAAAACTATAGGAATTTGTTAAACCAAAAGACAGATTTGAATGAGAAGGCCTTGTTTTTGAAGGCTTTAAATACATAGAATATAGAATGGAAACCTCTATGGACTATGTACGGACCTATAGTTCTCCCGCTCATTTTGATTGATAACTATTTTTTTTATAGTGAATTTGAAATGAAATACAAACAATAATTAATAAAGAGAAATTGAGTAAATAAAATTTGTGAAATTGTATTTTTTGTGTATTTCTTCTTGAACATCTGAACCTAATCCCCAAGGCAAACTTTCCCAAATTGAATTCTTGCAAGTCAAGCACAAAATCAAATTTGGTAGAGGTAGGTACTTTATTATTACTTCAACAAGAGAAATTCGTAAGTAGGTCAAGCTCAGTGATTATAAGCGCAAATACCTTAACCTCAAACCAAAATATAAACAAACTTGAACCTTCTCATTTTTGCATTTTGCTACAAAATATCTAGAAAATCAAATGGCAGACGATAGTAAGTTTTCTCTTAGTGCATGGGAAGACGATTTAGAGGATATCGATTCATCCCGAAATCCTACAGGTAGGTGGAACAAAAAAAAATATATTCTTCTGGGTTTATTGAACTTTTTATGTACCTATTATTCGAATCATTGGCCAACATTGATCATAATGGGCCGTTTTCTAGTTTTAAGGCTCCCTCATTTCCATTTTAGTTTTTTTCTGAACTAACTGATGATACCTATCAGTTTTGACAATATTGTTTTCACCAATGGATCTGGTTATAGACTTCTCAGATTACAGACTTCTCTTCACTCTCTGCTGGATACATACATTACATGACCAGCTCAATGTCAAGGAGCATATATATCCTCTTTACATCATCCTGCATTCAATATTTGTCCTGATCTGTCTTATCCAGACTTTCACCTTCCTGTCTCAATTATCAATTGTGATTCCCAATATTATTTTCTACATAGCTCTTTGGTGTATTAGGACTCAGAGCACAGAGGCATGCATTTCAAAGATGTCCCCTCGGATGTCCCTTAAAAAATTAAAAAACAAATCAATAATAAGAATAATGAAAATTCAAGAACTTGGAATGAAAAAATTCAAGAGCCAAAAGAATATTAAGAATTTAGAATAAAGAAATAAGGAAAAATCAAGAGCCTGGAATAGGAAAAATTATAAAAATTGAAGAATTTAAATTAAAAGAGAAACATTTTCTTGCTAATATTTCCTTATTTTATTCATTTTATAACTTTCAATTTTTGTCTATTCCAGGAGCTATGCTCTCTAAAATAATTGAGGTTTTTAAATTGTTCTGAAGCCTTTCAAAATGCTACTGGAGCTAAAGTGTTTTGGAACTTTCTAAATGGCTTATTGTTGAAGTTCTAAAGTGTTCTACCTTGGCTTGCAAAGGACCCCGCAGAAACCTTATGAGAACTGGCCCTCAGTGGAATCTCATGAAATTTTGCATATTGATATTTCTTGACCTATAGATTAAAAGTGTCCATGGACACAAACTTCTAAAAATTCGCTTTTTTGAGCTACAGTCGTTTGAAGTTGCGTCATATGTGAAATTACTCAAACCTTATACAGTCTAGTTTTTTCGGTTACTTCATGAATTTTAGAACGACATATGCATAGTATAATACGTTTCTAATTATTCGATTCCAGAAATGGCGACTTTTAAACCATAGACGTTCTAAGAGGGGTTTATTAATAATTATGGATAAATAATGAGATGATTACAAGAAGTAAAGGTACATGTTTGATACTAAATTGATGAAGGAACATTATATTCAGTAGAAAATAAAGCATTGTATGCACCATTCGAAAAAAATCAACCCATTCGCTAGGGCTCGTAAGTTAAACTTCCTTCTCATGGGTAAACGTTCATTTAACTCACTTGGTGTATAAATAACTATTATTTTCAACCCCTCTTAAGACGCCTATGCTTTAAAAGTGGCCATTTCTGGAATCATATAATAAAATGATACTATGATGTTCTAAAATTCACGAAGTAACAAAAAAAACTAGACTGTATAAGGTTTGAGCAATTTCACATATGACGCAACTTCAAACGACTGCAACTCAAAAAGGCGAATTTTTAGAACTTTGTGCACATGGACACTTTTAGTCTATAGGTCAAGAACTATCAATATGCAAAATTTCATGAGATTCCACTGAGGGCCAGTTCTCATAAGGTTTCTGCGGGGTCCTTTCTGGAGCATTCTAGAAGTTTTTCAGTGCTTTCTAAATTGTTCTGACAGATTTCCAAGTATTTTAGAGCCCTATTAATTATGAAGCTTCAAGTGTTCTAAATTGGTTCAAAAGAGTTTCAAAAGGTTTTCTCTAAATTGAAGTTTCTCAATTATTTCAAAATGCTCCTAAAATTTCTGACTTGGATGCTTATTAAAGATCCAAAGTTCCACAGCAATTAATTGCTCTTAAAAGCCTTCTGAAAGGCATTTTGTAACTTTTAACCTGAATCAAAAGATTCTGGCGATTTTCAAAATGTTTCTAGAGATTCTAGAGTATTAGAGTGTTTTGGAGCATCCTAAATTAAATTTGGTTCAAACTTCTGAATTTTTCTAAAATGCTGTTGGAAATTGTGAGTCGGTGTTTGAATGTTTTGGGGCATTTTAAAATGGTTTTGAAATCTCCAAAATGTTCTGAAGCGCTACAGAATGCTTTTGGAAATTCTGAATTGAATTTTAAGTGCTTTGAACTTTCTAAATGGCTTATTAAAGTTCTAAAGTGTTCTGTAGCATTCTAAATGGTTTCCAGTAACTTCTAAATTGAAGGAAAAACGAATCGTGTGGGAAATTTTCGTATAGACATCTTAAAGACGTCCCTAAGATGTCCGCAAACGACATTCAAGACGTTTTGCTTACGTCTTGAAGATTTTGTATGTTACAAAACCCAACGTCTTTCAGACGTCTGCCTCAAGACGTCTCTAGAACTAAGACATTCTAAAAACGTCTTCAACGAGATGTCTTATTAAAGAAAGACATCTTGGAATCTCTTTTCAATACATAAACCATCATTCACTTTCAAGGCTTGGTTGTACCAACTAACCAAATAGTTGTCTTTTAGATGTGAATTTACCACATCTTATGGACATCTTCAAAATAACGTCTTCTAGATGTCTTTCTTTGGTCTTTAGACGTTCAGACGTAATGCAAACCTGAAAAAGACGTCTTTAAGACTTTGTGTGCTGTCTGGATACTTTCTGGAGTGATTTCTTATCTTCAGGTTCCAGGTTAATGAACCAGAAACTGTGACTCTGATAAGTATGAATTCCTTGTACTTCTTGGGCTTAAATTTCAATGGCATTTTGTGGCGATATGTATAAGCGATGCTTAGGGACCCGTGCTCGAAGCAGGCCCAAAAGGGCCCCCTTTAAGTGCAAATATTTTTTAAATAAAAATATTTTGAAAGAAAATTCATAAATATAATGATAATGATATCGATCTATATTCTATACTTAACTGGTACATTCCTTCCAGTTGCCACCGCTGAAAGGTCATTTAGTGAATTAAAAATATTGAAAAATTACTTCAGAATTCTATAAGTCAGCATAGACTGCATGATCTTTCCATTTTGTCTATTAGACATAGCACAGCATCCAATATGGATAATCGGTATTTAGTTGCTCCAAAAAAATTATCCAATGGATAAAGGAGCCATAGACAATCAAAATTTGAACTATTACCGGCTTTTGATTCTCTGAAAAACTTTCCTGGAGCCGATCAAGAGGCAGTAATAGTTAAAATTTGAACTTTTATCAACTCTGGATTCGCAAAAGAGTTTTTCTAAGGGCATTCAAACGTCAAGAGCCGATAATATTCAAAATTTCAAATGATCATTTAGCAGCTCTCAAGTGGATATTAATCAAAATTTCTTCTTCCGCAGCTTCTAATTGGCTCAAGAAAAATTATCCAATGAATCAAGAGCCACAGATAATGAAAATTTTGATTATAACCGGCTCTTGATTCTCTGGGAAACCTTCCTAGAGCCAATGAAGAGCCGGTAATAGTTGAAATTTGAATTTTTATCAACTCTGGATTCGCAAAAGAATTTGTCTAACTAAGGGCATTCAAACCTCAAGACCCGATAATAATCAAAATTTCAATTGATCATTAGCAGCTCGCAATTGGATATTAATCAAAATTTCTTCTTCCGCAGCTTCTAATTGGCTCAAGAAAAATTATCCATTGGATCAAGAGCCACAGATAATCAAAATTTTAATCATAACCGGCTCTTGATTCTCTGGAAAATTTTCCTAGAGCCAATGAAGAGCCGGTAATAGTTGAAATTTGAATTTTTATCAACTCTGGATTCGCAAAAGAATTTGTCTAACTAAGGGCATTCAAACCTCAAGACCCGATAATAATCAAAATTTCAATTGATCATTAGCAGCTCGCAATTGGATATTAATCAAAATTTCTTCTTCCGCAGCTTCTAATTGGCTCAAGAAAAATTATCCATTGGATCAAGAGCCACAGATAATCAAAATTTTAATCATAACCGGCTCTTGATTCTCTGGAAAATTTTCCTAGAGCCAATGAAGAGCCGGTGATAGTTGAAATTTGAATTTTTATCAACTCTGGATTCGCAAAAGAATTTCTCTAAGGGCATTCAAACCTCAAGAGCCAATAATAATCAAAATTTCAAATGATCATTAGCAGCTCTCAAGTGGATATTAATCAAAATTTCTTCTTCCGCAGCCTCTAATTGGCTCAAGAAAAATTATCCAATGGATCAAGAGCCACAGATAATCAAAATTTCAACTATTACCGGCTCTTGATTCTTTGGAAAATCTTCTTAGAGCCAATCAAGAGCCGGCAATAGTTAAAATTTGAACTTTTATCAACTCTGGATTCGCAAAAGAATTTTTCTAAGGGCATTCAAACCTCAAGAGCCGATAAAAATTAAAATTTCGATTAGGTACTCATTAGCAGCTCTTGAGTTGATAATAATTAAAATTTCTTCTTCTGCAGCTTCTAATTAGCTCTTTTAGTTGAACAATTTGCAATTAATAAACCCCAGACGGAGAAACTTTTGAGTAGTAGCATTGGTAGGTGGAGGTAATTTAAAGGATTAAAGGGCGAAATGTTGGGCATTTTCATAAACCCTCCGTTTTTTGCTTGGGAAATATTAGGATTTAAGGTAAAGAGCTATGCGAGGAGCTATGTCATAGATTTTTGTTTTATTCAATGAAGAAAATGAAGTTATGATTTGATGTGTTTCTACCAAATAAATAATATTTGTTGCTTTTTCTGCTTTGGAATCATCATTTTATTTTATTTGGTTTCGGTTCAAAGGTTTATTAAACAACAAATTATCGAATACACAAAATCTTATGTTTTTTCATTTCAAGGGTAGGGGGGCCTAATTGTGATATTTGCTTAGGGGCCCAGTGCATCCAAGCGCCGCCACTCACCACTGACATACATCCTAATAATTTTATAACTCAAACATTAGAATATAGCAATTTCAAAATCTTTCTGAATTACTTTATAATCTCAAAATCATTTCCAGAAATCCTTCAAAGACAGTTCCTGGAAGCTGCAGAAAATGGTGATCTACAAACCATTAAAACACTCCTAGACCAAGACCCGGATCTCATAAATACCACTGACAAAGACAAATATACAGCACTGCACAGAGCTTGTTATAGTGGCCATTTAGAAGTAGTGAAATATCTTGTAAAAAATGGAGCCGATATTGGAGCCAAAACAGAAATGCAGTGGGAACCTTTGCACTCTTGTTGCCAGTGGAGTCACGTGGGATGTGCGGCTTTTCTAATACAATGTGGAGCTAATGTCAATGCTTTATCAGAAGGAGGCAATCATTTTGTTGCAATTTTGTTTATTGGTAAAAAATATAAGCTTGGGTTTTAGGTCAGACTCCTTTGCATATAGCTGCTACGCATGGGAAAAACTATGATACAGTTCAGTTACTTTTAATGCACCCTTACATAAATCCTTCTCTGAAAAATAATAGTGGGGAAACGGCAACTGATTTAGCTAGGAGAAGTTCAAAGTATTATAACATTTTTGATATGGTTGATCCAGTTTTGGACTCTAAAAGTCTTGAGTAAGTATTTCTTGTCAATTTTTTGCCATAAGAAGTCAGATTTTGTACTTTTTTAGATTGCTCAAACCTAAAAATTAAAAGGTAATCTCTCGGGTAATCTATCAATTTTCAGCAGCCAGTGATAAAGATCTTGACATAGCAAATCGATTAAGATAAAATTTACTTTTTCTATGATCTTTGGTGTGATTTTGCATTGTAACATTTGTAACCTTTTAAGTTTAAGTTCAAAGCTACTCTGTTTAAATTATAAAGTAATTATTATCAGTCACGATTCTTTTTATTTAATTAAGTTATGAAGTCGGATTATGAGGGAAGCCAGCATAATAATTTTTTTTTTCTTCAATTTTTGATATTTCAGCTTATACTTCTCACGTTCATTATGAAATTGCAGATTTAAATATTTTTCCTCTAATAATTGTAAGTTTTTCGTACATTTCTCATTGTGTCAAGAACGTTCAGCTCAAAATTCAGACAGCCTGCATAATATTTCATCGGCCCTATATTGAGGAAAAAACATAAAAGAAGCACTAACTGGTTTTTTTTCATGTATTTTTAACGAGCTTTTTAAAAAATAGGACTTCAATTCTACACCGCGATATATGGACGTTCCGTTACATCAATTTTTAGCAAGTTCCTATTGTTTCTAGTAATTTATACGGCTCTGCAATCCTCCTTTAATTGTTTTGTAATGATATCGTTAAACGGTTACTTAAATTTGTTTAAAAGTTAATTATGCTTGCAGGTAGGTACTGAAAATTATAAATTGCTTCTCCTGAAAGAGGTTTTTCAAGAAAAAATTGTTGATGATACGACTATCAACATTTTTTTATTCCACATTTGTATTGCCTTTTGGAAGCCAGTTTACCTATATTAATCAATTGCCACGCTATTTAATAATCAATTAACCATCGTTTTTTAAATACATTGTCGTAAAGTAAACATCAAGTTGCTATATCGGCATTAAATTCTTATTTAAGCCAGCGCTGTCCTATAAGGAACGTTCATTTGTTTTCAAGCTTTTACTGTAGCAACTTGATCCACATATTTTCTTTTGTCACCTCTGTATTTTAATTAATGAAATAAATGACAAGTTTCTGGATCGAAAATATAATTGGCGCAGTCGTACGGATACTCAGAGTACTTAAGTTTCGGTATAGTCGCGAAAATTTCAAAAAATTGAAGGAAGTTCGAAAAAGTGAATTCTTCGGGAAAGTGAAATTTGGATTATCAGTGCTGCTATTAAACGTTCCAGATAGTGTCCACTTCGGATTCGATAACTGAGTAAAAGGAATAACAAGAAACAACGTGTGAAGAAAGACTACTATTATTAGCATCGTGTCTAGTAAGTACATCCTTTCTCTTTAAACATTTTGTATTTTTGATTTACTGAAAAGACTCAAATTCAGATTTTTGTTCTTTTGCAATTTCAAAACGATTTGCTGAAAAAAACTGAAATCAAAAATAAAAAGTAATTAAGAATTTACAAACGCACAACAATAAATAATTTTAAAGAAAACGCAACCCATAAGACTGATTGATTTTTTTTTTAAATTCCTAATTTTTAAATTTCCGAAATAATTCTGATTCTGAAGAAGAAATCGAGAATCTCTTAACTCAATTTATAATTTAAATCATCTTTATAATTCTAATTTAAGAAGTAGGTAACCAGAATCAAAGACCAACAGTAACAATGAGTGAAAATTTAAAATCAATCGTTCAACTGATCAAACCTTTCAGTGGCGAAATAAGCCAATATTTAGAATATTTCATAAGAAACACCAATGAATTTTATCAAACCTATTACACTGGTGAAAATGCCCAAAAAGAATATGTGGTTACCGCCATAAAATCAAAATTATTAAATGACGCGTGAAATTTTCTTATGGCTTATAGCTGAACCACATGAAATTTAGTAGAGGACTCAATCATTCTACTAATCAAAATCAGAATTTTTCAAATTTCAAAAATAAAAACATGCAATTTTCCGGGCAATTTTCTTCAAAACAAACCTATACTCAACAAAAACCTCAATATGCACAAAAAACACCGTATACCTCAGAAACCACAGTTTCCATCCCAACATATTAACATAACACCTAAAAAGAATTGTACCAACAAAATTTCCTACTACACTCACCGACACAAAATTCGGGACAACCAAAATTTAGATAAAATTTGATGTAGGATAACTTTTTCTTCCAAAGTCCGATTTCAATCTTTTTTTTTTCATAATGTAGATAATTGTTTTGGTTTTAATTAATAATTTTATTCAATTTTCAAAAACACAGTTTACATGTTGGAATATACCAGGAAAATAAAAAAGTATATTTTTTCTCTTAACTTTGTAACACTCTGTAGAGTAATTTTGCGGAGTAAGCTACACTGGATATGCTTTTCTGGAGAGTTTGATCCATTTTCAACATTTTGCTGTTTTATCGGTCTTGGTATCTTTATCGGTTTGGGAGATATGAATTTTTGAAATAAACATTACACTTCTTGATCAAGTCTAAATTTTTGAAATAAACCTTACACTTTTTGATCATGTCTATTCTCAATTGAAGCATGGAAGTAGGGGTTTTAAAAGTTAGTAGCTCGTGTTACCTCCTCTTGCTCTTATAACAGATACTAAACGTCGATTCATTCCTCTAATCAGGTTTTGGATATCCTGTTGTGGAATAGCAGCCCATTTTTCTTCCAAAGCATTTCGGAGCTGTTGGAGAGTGAACAACTGTCCTCGGCGTTTCCTAATTCGTCTACCTTACATGTCCCATCCCATACATGTTCTATAGGATTAATGTCAGGACTACGAGCGGGCCAGCGCATAACGTTCATTCCAACCTCTTCTAAATATTGGGCCACTATTCTGGCAGTATGTGGTCAGGCATTGTCACGCATCAAAACGAATTCGTTGCCGATAAATTGTGCAAAAACAACAACATGTTCTCCCAGAATTTCGTCAATGTACCTCGGGGCAAATAAATTTCCTCGGTCAATAAAATCAAGTTTTGTTCGAGCGTCAAACGAAAAATCGCCCCATACCATTATCGATCCACCACCAAAGCTAACCCTTTCGCTAAAAGTACATTGGGCGAATCTCTCCCCTTGTCATCTCCATACTCTTTCTCGTCCATCAGGAGACCTCAGGACTCGTCTGAAACTAGAACTTGCCTCCACTCTTGAAGGTTCCACTCAATGTGTTCTTGGAAAAAAAGAAGTCTATTAACTCGATGCTGTCTTTGAAGTTCTGGTCCAGTTGCCGGTCTTCTGGCCCGTAAATTGCCTTTAATCAAGTCTTCTTCTCATTGTTATTTCATTGACAGCAACTTGAAGAACTCTTTCGAGGTCATTTCTAATCACTACTGCACCCGTATGCCGATCTCTTAAAGCCGAGAGTCTAATGAAGCGATCATCAAGTGCGGAAGTAGCGCGATTTCTTCCAGATCCAGGTCTTCTACTGTAAATTCCAGTCTCACGAAACCTTGCTACGGCTCTTCCCACGCTAGATTTTGTAGAACCTAGCATATCTACCACACATTAACTGGAACCTTCAAGAGTGGAGGTAAGTTCTATTTTCAGACGAGTCTCGATTTTGCCTGAGGTCACCTGATGGACGAGAAAGAGTATGGAGACGATAATGGGAGAGATTCGCCCAATGTACTTTCAGCGAAAGGGTTAGCTTTGATGGTGGATCGATAATGGTATGGGGCGGTTTTTCGTTTGACGCTCGAACAGAACTTGTTTTTATTGGCCGAAGATTACCTGCCCCAAGATACATTGACGAAATTCTGGGAGAACATGTTGTTTTTGCACAATTTATCGGCAACGAATTCGTTTTCATGCATGACAATGCCCGTCCACATACTGCCAGAAGAGTGGCCCAATATTTAAAAGAGGTTGGAATAAACGTTATGCGCTGGCCCGCTCGTAGTCCTGACATTAATCCCATAGAACATGTATGGGACATGTTAGGTAGACGAATTAGGAAACGCCGAGGACAGTTGTTCACTCTCCAACAGCTCCGAAATGCTTTGGAAGAAGAATGGCCTGCTATTCCACAACAGGATATCCAAAACCTGATTAGAGGAATGAATCGACGTTTAGAAGCTGTTTTAAGAGCAAGAGGAGGTAACACGAGGAACTAACTTATAAAATCCCTAGTTCCATGCTTCAATTAAAAATAGACTTGATCAAAAAGTGTAAGGTTTATTTCAAAAATTTAGACTTGATCAAAAAGTGTAATGTTTATTTCAAAAATTCATATCTCCCGAACCGATAAAGATACCAAGAACGATAAAACAGCAAAATGTTGAAAATGGATCAAACTCGCCAGAAAAGCATATCCAGTGTAGCTTACTTCGCAAAATTACTCTACAGAGTGTTACAAAGTTAAGAGAAAAAATATACTTTTTTATTTTCCTGGTATATTCCAACATGTAAACTATATTTTTGAAAATTGAATAAAATTAATTAAAACCGAAATAATTATCTACATTATGAAAAAAAAAAGATTGAAATCGGACTATGGAAGAAAAAGTTATCCTACATCAAATTTGATCTAAATTTTGATTGTCCCGAAGTTTCTGTCGGTGAGTGTAGTTAAGGAACTTTTGGCAAAAATTACAATATTGCCTTTCGAAAAACATGAATCAACAATTTCCGAAACCGACACCTATGTCCGGAGTTTCAGTGCAACCACGAGCACAAAATCAACATCAGTACAAACCCAATAATTATTTCAAACCTGACTCAAGGGCCTGCCCTTCAAGATATAAAATCCAAGAGATTAATAATATCTTTGAAATCGAATTACCTGACTCTGACGAAAATTTCGAAAATGACGAAAATTCAGAACAAAATCAAAACTATTATGAAGAGACAAATTTTGAAGAAAATCAAGTCGAAACTGAAGACGGAAATTTTCAATTACCAGTCTTGGATGTAATGAGTCAGCATTAACTTTAAATGCTTATCAGATCAACCATCTACCTTTCATTCAAATAGACTCCACCGTGTAAATTATTGATTGACACAGGAAGTCATGCCTCTTTAATAAGACCCTCAATCGCAGAAGGATATTTTTCAAATTCTATAATTAATTCACGAAATAAGTTAACAACTTGTATGGGTACATGAAAAACCCAAGGAAAAATTAATGTCCCAATTTTACAAGAATATAATATTCAAAACAACATTGAAATGATAATGTATAATTTCCCTGACTATTTTGATGGAATTATTGGAATCAAAGCATTAAAAGAAAATAA